CACTGTTTGTTGTTAAACATTATGTAGTAATAGATTAATTTATGACAAGAGTGCACCTCAAAACATTTCAAGTAAACAACGTAAAGCAACTAACCGCTATATCTTCATTGGGTTTTTTTTTTGGGACAGGAGTGATGCAATAAGACTACAGTGTAACATGATGTTTTATTTATCCTGTAAATCCACATCCAAAGAGGGAAACTCCTTCTTTCTTGTGCTGACTGACCTGCACCACTGGATTCAGATGACTTGGCGGGTTTTTCTTCCTAGAAATGTTTGATGACTATCACCATTATACAATTAAAAACTGTAAAGCAGACAGCAGTAACTGGTACTTTCATTTTTCAGAAATCGTGTAACAACAAATCATGTTTGCAGGTTGTTAGGAGATGGTTGGGATGTTACCTGTTGTTTTTCATCAGCTTTGAGTTTCATAACCACGTTCTATATGAGTGCAGAGAATGTGTTAATGAATAACACAGAATTATACAGTGACCCAATTAAGAATATGGACACTTATGTCACACTTAATTTCACTGCATTAGAGAACAAATGAACAAATTCTTTCAATGCTAAATCCTCGTTATTTTGTGATCTAATGCAATGTCATTCATTAATTTAAAGTGTGCCATTGATGTCCCGCTACTTTTTTTGCTAGCTACCCCTACATGCTCTTTCCATAAATTTCCATAAACTGCTTAAAGTCACCTACACAATACCTTAGATACAGGGTCATTATTCAAAGCCGACTTGTCTTCTTCGTCCAGCTCTACATATATATATATATATATGTATGTAAAAAACACATTAAATAAATAAGACGTGCAGTCGATACATACAAAACAAACTTGTAGCCAATCAGCAGTAAGGGGCGTGTTTACTCATGATGTGGAGGAGAGAGCGCTCAGTGCACGGGACGGACATTAGTGAGCCGAGCGACAGAAATATAGAGATGGCGGATAAAAAAACAAAAGAGAAAACGTCTGCGGAACAAAAGAAGGCTTAAGCCAGTAAGGCAAGAAGTAGGACCCCTGTAAATATCGGATCAGCTTTCCAGCGCTGTCTAGAACTCAAGGAGCAGAAGGCCTGTGATGAGGTTGCTAGGTTGCTTTGTTTCTTCTCGATAAGTGGGTAACACCGTGTCTGCGCCGCAACAGCTAAAGTCTGTCTAGACGCAACAAAGCAACAAAGCGACCATTGAAAATCATTTGAAATTTGTGTTAATATGTCATGAATAGAACGCAGCAGCAGTTTTCTGTCGGGGATTTGTCGTGTCGCGCCGCATCCAGTGTAGACCATAGATATGTATATATATATCTATGGTGTAGACAGCATCACTGATTATAATGAGTTCTATAGTATTTTGTCACGCCGCGAGTACGACTCTCTAACTATTAGGCCACGACTTCCCCTCAAAAAGTATGTGTGTACGTATGTGTGGGGTGGAGCTATCAAAATAGGGGCGAGACACTTTTGGGGTAGGAGCGTGTTTGTTTTGGTGATTTCAAATGTCAACATTGGCTACCAGAACTCGCTTACCCCACCTTTAACTGTCACTGTCCCGTATAAGTTTACTTCGATATATTACAATTAAATCCTAATCTAATCATGACAAACTATATATCGTTGGAAAGGTCTAAGACTCCTAAATAGATATTTTACCACTGTTTGTTGTTAAACATTATGTAGTAATAGATTAATTTATGACAAGAGTGCACCTCAAAACATATACATCATAACACTAGTTCTGACCTGTGTCACAAAAATTATTTTTCGTTTCTTGTTTCCCTATTACATGTTTTAGTAATCCTCATAAATTATATATCATTTGAAAGCTTAAAACCTCGAAATTCATCCTGTCAAAACCATTTTGAGATCGGACATTGCCTTACAATGGAAATGGTACTTTAAAATCTTTTAGCGGGCTCCTCCCCCTTAGTGGGAGGTGCCATATTCCAAATGTATTACGGTCTTTTAGAATCAAAACTTTTCATAATCTTGGTATACATATCGTTGGAAAGGTCTGAGTCTCAAGTTTCCATATTTGGTGGTATTTTGCCATAGACATAATATTGAGAGAGAAATTGATACATTTGTGACAAAAAAAAATGCATCAAAAAAATTCTATGGAGTTTGGATGGCACCCGGTGGCTGTTTGTGGTATAACGCCTAAACAAAATTGCATAGAATCTGCATTTTTTAAAATATCAACTTCAAATTTGGAACACAACTTATTTAGACATGGCTTTCATTTTATAGCAATTTTGGATTAAAACATATTTTGTAAAATATTTATTTTATATAAAATAAAATACAAATAGTACAGTACACATCTTTACAGTAAATTTAAACTTCTATAACATTTTTTATGCTTTCATTTTTTGAAACGATTTAACTTCTGCAATAATCTGCAGATTGTCTTCTTTAAAAAGAGACCAACCTTAGGTCTGTATTCAAAAGCGTGTATGAATTATATAAGTAAGGGGGGGGGGTATGTATGTTTATACCAATAACAAATACTGTACCTCCACTTCTTCACGCATTCGACTCGTCTCCTGGTGTGGTTTTAGTACCTGTAATGACAGCGCTAAACCTCTTATACTGTGGCACCGTTTCCTTCAGAGCTTTCAGTATGTTAGTGTTTGTTAGTTAGTGTGATATGTCACTTTCAGTTTGATTAAAAATACATGATGACCACTAGAGGTCGCCACAATACAGCTGTAAACTACGGTGGCCGAGAGAGCTCAACGCGCTGCAACTTAAGAAAACACATGCAAATTGAAAAAACACCAGCAAATTAAGAAAACATCTTCATCAGTTTGACAACACACGCGCTGCAAATCCTCACAACACATGCAAATGAAGAAACGCTGCAAATCCTCACAACACATGCAAATGAAGAAACGCTGCAAATCCTCACAACACATGCAAATGAAGAAACGCTGCAAA